GCTTGCTGGTGGCTGATTAAATTTACCAACACAAACTAATGCAGACAGACCAAGATCAGCTGGCACATCCCTGTCTTAACTTGCTGGTGGCTGATTTAATTTACCCACACAACCAATGCAGACCAAGATCAGCTGGCACATCCCTGTCTAAGCTTGCTGGTGACTGATTAAATTTATCCACACAACCAATGCAGACCAAGATCAGCTGACACATCCCTGTCAAAGCTTGCTTGTGGCTGATTAAATTTACCAACACAACCAATGCAGACCAAGATCAGCTGGCACATCCCTGTCTTAGCTTGCTGGTGGCTGATTAAATTTACATACACAAAACAATGCAGACCAAGATTAGATGACACAATCCCTGTCTTAACTTTTGCTGGTGGCTGATTAAATTTACCAAACACAACTAATGCAGACCAAGATCGTCTGGCACATCCCTGTCTTAGCTTGCTGGTGGCTGATTAAAAATTTACATACACAAAACAATGCAGACCAAGATCAGCTGGCACATCCCTGTCTTAGCTTGCTGGTGGCTGATTAAATTTACCCACACAACCAATGCAGACCAAGATCGTCTGGCACATCCCTGTCTTAGCTTGCTGGTGGCTGATTAAATTTACCCACAAATTTACCCACACAACCAATGCAGACCAAAATCATCTGGCACATCCCTGCCTTAGCTTTCTGGTGGCTGATTAAATTTACCCACACAAACAATGCAGACCAAGATCAGATGACACATCCCTGTCTTAACTTGCTTGTGGCTGATTTAATTTACCAACACAACCAGTGCAGACCAAGATCGTCTGGCACATCCCTGTCTTAGCTTGCTGGTGGCTGATTAAATTTACCAACACAAACAATGCAGACCAAGATCAGCTGGCACATCCCTGTCTTAACTTGCTTGTGGCTGATTTAATTTACCCACACAACCAGTGCAGACCAAGATCAGCTGGCACATCCCTGTCTTAGCTTGCTGGTGGCTGATTAAATTTACATACACAACCAATGCAGACCAAGATCAGCTGACACATCCCTGTCTTAACTTGCTGGTGGCTGATTAAATTTACCAACACAACCAATGCAGACCAAGATCAGCTGGCACATCCCTGTCTTAGCTTGCTGGTGGCTGATTAATTTACACACACAACTAATGCAGACCAAGATCAGCTGACACATCCCTGTCTTAGCTTTCTGGTGGCTTATTAAATTTTCCAACACAACCAATGCAGACCAATATCAGCTGGCACATCCCTGTCTTAGCTTGCTGGTGGCTGATTAAATTTACCCCCACAACCAATGCAGACCAAGACCAGCTGGCACATCCCTGCCTAAGCTTTCTGGTGGCTGATTAAATTTACCCTAACAACCAATGCAGACCAAGATCAGCTGGCACATCCCTGTCTTAGCTTACTGGTGGCACATCTGGCACATTCCTGTCCCATCTGATCTTGGTATGCTATGTTTGTCATTCAGTCAGCACTTATTTTGAAATTTAAAGTAATGAATGGGTTTGTCCACATTTAGAGATTGCGAAGTCCATTTAAAATAGTTTAATGTGGTAGTAATTAATTATTTCTCATTCAGCATGTAAAGTGTAACATAGATGTAAATATTTACACATTACATAATCTCTTAAACTCTTTATGCATTTTTTTAATGTTTTAAATATTTTCAAAATATATTTGTTCTATTGGAGGCACGCAGCTGAATTGTGAGTCTATGAAGTAAAATTCAAATGTTTCATGAAATGGTGTCTATTATTGAGTGAGAAGTTGTTACACTATGAATATATATAATTTTTATGAAAGAAAGAAAGTTATGAGCGGGAAAGTATACATAGAAAAAGCAAACAAAAAATCTGCACGCTGCAGCTGGACTGGCAAGCCAGATACCTGTGGTTCGAGCATGCCTATTTTCTATGAATATAATATACATTTCTTTTTTCACCAGTATTTGTTATAATTTTTGTTGGTTTGATTTATTTGCAGGTGATACTGAAATGCTCAAAATTTGGCAAAGATTTAAAGACATCAGTATACAGGAGTATTCTAAATTGTATCAGGTATATTATTCTATATTCTAACATATTACAAGGTGCAACATTCACTTGAAAAACTACAAAAAAAGAGAAGAAAACATGTACATAATTATGGTAAAATGTGGCAATTACATTTTAACTACCACCCCTTCCTTTGTATTTGTACTGTAGCTGTTTATTCCCCCAACCACCACAGTCCCCCGCCCACCCCATTTATTTAAAACATTACTGTGTCAAATGAGAGAAAAATGTGTAGCCTTATTGGGAATCAAACTCATGAATTTGTTATGCCGTAGCCCAACCATGCCACTTTTCTATCCAGCCTCTAACACATTTTCACCCTTAATAAGTAAACAGTTCTATACTGTGACTCACTTGCCCATTATTTTTAAAATCTTCACATTCTCATTGGTTCAACAAATCCTCCTTGCTGACTCTGGATATACGTAACATAACTCTACCTTGCCTAATTTTAGAGTTATTCCCCTTTATTAGATTTACTTTACAAACTTTGTCCAAACAATAACTCCAAAAGTACTTGAGGGATTCTCTTCAAATTTCATACACTGACATAGCACATTGGTAGGAAGTGCAGTGTGCAAGAATAATAACTCTCTTTTGCTTAGTTTTAGAGTAAGTCCCATTATCAGATTTACTTGAAAAACTTTGTCCGAAGCATATCACCAAAAAAAGTCTTTGAAAAGATTTTCAACAAAGTTAATGCACTGCCTTTCACCACTAAAAGTTCAATTCCTGACAGGGACTGTGGATTCCTTTTATGTGTGGAAGCTGTCAAGCTAGCTTACAGAACTCAGGTGCTTGTTCTTTCATGAAATATTGCATGTAGTGGTTTACCTGGGGTCCTTTTTCCACTAATAAAGCTTGAAAGAAGCCATATGACCAATACTGTATTAGTGTGATGTTAAAATCCAACCATCCAAAATTATTATTAGTTTTTGACCAAATTTTATTTCATTTTCATCTATTTTTAGATATGTTATCTATTTTTAGAGCTCGTATTTAATTTTAGAGATTAGGTGTGACATTCACAGAGTACCATTCAGAGTCAATGTACGATAAAGAAGCCATATCATTAACAGAAAGGTTAAAGCACACGGGGATACTACAGACGGACAGGTTTACCACCCTTTCATATACAAGCTATCTTGGAAACAGTTTAAATTCATAACAAAATGATGCAAATAGTTTAAGTTTGTAGCAAAAAGATGAAAATAGTTTAAGTTTGTAACAAATGATGCCTATATTTTAAGTTCCTAGCAAAACGATGCAAATTGTTCAGAATAGATTCTGCTGTAGCTGGGATTTTGAACTCTTTGACCATCCACTTTTATAAGCAAAAGTAGCAAAGCTATAGACCACTGAGCCATAGAATTAATTCCCTGAGGCAGTCATCAGACGTTTTAGTTATAGTTATGAAGTTAGGTGTGCACTCAACCATAACAATATGTAGTTTCTTAGTGTTGGAGAATGACCATGTCAGGTACATAAAGTTATTATGATGTTTCCATAGATTGTAAATGTCTGGTTAGCTCAATAGTGTTGGACTCTGAATCGGACAATCTGGGTTTCGAATTCTGGGATGGTGCAACTTTCGTTGTGATTTATCATGAAATCCCTTTCAATGTTCAAACTCCCTGTGTGGCTAAGGTGTCTGCCTCTCAACCCAGAGATCATGGGTTCAAGCCCTACTCGGGTTACGACCATGTTTCTTCATATAGACACCGGTACTGGTTGGTTCCAGGAAGCGGACTCGAAAGTGATTTATATAAGTTGCAAGAACTGTTTCGCAATCGAGCTTAAAATAGATATGTTTAAGCTCTATGTACCTTCTGTACCACTGTACAGAAGTTATCAGTTTCCATTGTGTGAAAGTGATGGCAACTAGTAATGGTAAACTGTTTGACAGTTATGCCCAGAACAATGCGTGGCTGAACTGTGTGCTATGGTGAATTGAAAGTGGCTTACTGCCATGATCCGGAGGGCTAAATACCAACACCACCACCTCAGTGCAGTGTAAGATATTTGGATTGGAATCGACTAGGCTGGTCAGACTACCAGATGGGAATATTCACTAGCCCAAAAGACATTTCACTAGCAATTGATTCATTTGTCCAAAATAGTTGTTTATATTGCCTCTGAATATACAGTAGCCTGGTGAAAAGTTGGTAGCCCGAGGAGAAATTTAGTAGTCGGGCTATCGGACTACTGCTAGTTTCTAACACTGTCAGTGTAATAGTTTAAAACACATTTTTGAACATCAATAATATCTTGTCTTTGCTTAGTTTTTACAAATATGTTACTGATCTTCGCAGGTGACTTGTTTTATTTCAGTGAAGGTAAAGGGTATATTCAAATAGAATCAGATAAAGGTATACCAGATAAAGTGAATATTCTGAAAAGTGATGGTACAACATTGTATATTACAAGGTATGATTTTTTTAAAGAATCAGACTACATAAAATAATGATGTAGTTTATTTTTAGCTGAATTATTAGAAGATAAGGAAGAGATATATAACCCACTGGGCGTCACCATTCGAATAATGTTACATTCAGGCATTTGATACAGTTTAATTCCTACATGTCTAAAGTATTCACATGAAACTTCTTAGATCCTTTGATTTCATAATTGTAGGTCACTGTCCAAGGCAAGTGGCCAAGACACATAGCTCTAGCATGGTTCCTGGCTGAATTTAAGTAATTAATAAACGTAAAATTTGCTTTGATAAAGTATAGCATGCATTATCATTCTCCCTACGTAACGGAAAGTAAAAACTGTAACGGAAAGTAAAAACTGTAATACCTGCAAACCCAGCTTCATGTCACCTCAGTTACAAACTTTGATAACTGAATTTTAAAGTGGATTGGTCTACAATGGTCACATTTTCCATAAGTATTTCAAATATTGATAAAAACAATAGAATTGTATTATTTGGATATTCTTACTGTATATTTATGGAAAACTAAACTTTAATAGAGTTTTTAAGTGATTTAGTATGATGTGATTATATGTGATGAAAACTTAATATTTTGTTCTAGAAAACAATATTATCTGCATTAATTATATTGGTATGTCATATCGGATCATGTATCTAATACTTGCCAGCAACATCCACAAATTATTCTTTCAAGGTTCGTTGTCACGTATGATACAAAATAACACCAACATGATTATTTTTTATGGTATTACAAACCGTTCATTATGGACCAATATAGGGTCAATGCACATTTTTCCGTGTTATAATGTCTGCAGAGTCCCTCGGAACTGTTGGAGCCCTCGCCTTACTGGGCTCTGGCACCAACCGTTCCTCTACAGACTTTATAACACAAAATAAAAGTGCATTGACGCTATTATAGCATAACATTTTAAAACAGATTCATGATGTATAGTTAATACAAAACACATACATTAAATCCTTGTGCTTGGACGGTATTTATCCAATTCTACATGTTTTATGTATGTATTTTATTTTTTCTGGGCCCAACAACTTGGGAAATACAAATGCTCAGAACCGAACGATATTTTGAATTTTAATTAATTTAACAAAGCTTAAAATTAGAGATTTATTAACTCAAGAAAAAACATTAAATTACTCTACCCAAGACCCTCAGAAATTCCTAGAATGATTTCAGATTGATTAGCGGCAATGTCTATTCACTGTGTTTCCGGCATAGTTACTTGAACGCTGTTCACTGGCAATTTAGGCCCTAGAATCAATAATTACAATATTACAAGAGCTCATCACTCTTTGGCAAACAGGCCGAATCGTCATTTTTTTGTTAGCTTACTGGGTCCTGTATGTATTGCGCATAGGTAAAACCGGGCTATAACAAAAGCGCGTGACTATGTTAACACATGGTTTTAGTCCGGTTATAACATGGGCAAAAGAGGGAAAAATAGCTGATTTTATGCTATAATTCACTTAAGTATTGTACTATGCGTGTGTATATTTACATGAAGGAGTTATCTCTCTTTACAGGGATATTGCTGCCATTATGGACAGAGCAGAAAAGTACAAGTTTGATAAGATACATTATGTTGTAAGTTATATTTAGCATCGGTTTTTATGCCCCCGGGCATATAGTAATTGAACCGTCCGTCCGTCCGTCTGTCCGTATGAGGTTAACCTAGAACGGCAAGTTGGATTTTTCATAAGTTCTACCTGTACCAATGGCTTCTAAGTTTAAACACTTACTAATCAATACAAAGTACATGATCTGGGCTAGTTACATAACTCTGGCTTTCATATTTACCAAGTTATTGCCCTTTTCAGCACTTAGAAAATGAATAATGGTTAACCTAAAACGGCAAGTTGGAAATATCTTAAGTTCTATCTATACTAATGGCTTTATAATTTCCACACTTACTTATCAATACAAAGTGCATAATATTGCCAAGTTATATAACTGTGTCATCCATATTTCCCAGTTATTTCCCTTTTTTCACTTTGAAAATAGGGCCTTGTCTGGTTAACCTATTTCGGCAAGTTGGATTTATCTTAAATTTCTCCTAATTGCTTAATTTCTTTAATGATATCTTTCATATTTAGTAGGTGGATACTTTTGATGGTCCTCTAATTTTTTGTGGAGTAAGTGGTCTCTAGGGTCAAGGTCAAGGTCACTGGTTTAAAAAATAAATATAAACATTCTTGCTCATACAGCCTTTATTTTTTTGTTGATGCCTAAGTTTAATACAAACATGCCAAGGGAGGTCCTCCTTTTTTGGGTGTAGTTAGGGGTCATTTGGGTCAAGGTCAATGGTACCAATGTCAAGGTCACCAATGTTAAAAATAGATTTTTACAGGTGTATTGACCTTATTCTATAGACAGATGTTATTTATAATTGATAGAAACATAAACTTTGATGGAGGTAGTGGTCAGTTGGGTCAAGGTCACCAGTGCTAAAAATAGATTTTTACACTTTTGCTCATACAGCCTTTATTAAGTGACAGATATATTTTATATTTGGTAGGAAGATAACTTGCATGGTATTCATCCTTTTGTTTGGGGTAGGGATCAGTGGGTCAAGGTCACTTGTGCTAAAAATAGATTTTTACACTTTTGCCCATACAGCTTTTATTTATTGACAGATGTATTTATATTTAGTAGGAAGATAACTTGCATGGTATTCTTCCTTTGGATATAGTTAGGGGTCATTTGGGTCAAGGTCACAAGTGCTAAAAATAGATTTTTACACTTTTGTTCGTACAGCCTTTATTTATTGACAGATGTATTTATATTTTGTAGGAAGATAACTTACATGGTATTCTTCTTTTGGATAGAGTTAGGGGTCAGTTTGGTCAAGGTCACCAGTGCTTAAAATAGATGTTTACACTTTTGCCCATACAGCTTTTATTTATTGACAGATGTATTTTATATTTGGTAGGAAGATAACTTGCATGGTATTCTTCCTTTGGATGGAGTAAGGGGTCAGTTGGGTCAAGGTCACCAGTGCTAAAAATAGATTTTTACACTTTTGCCCATACAGCCTTTATTTATTGACAGATGTATTTATATTTTGTAGGAAGATAACTTACATGGTATTCTTCTTTTGGATAGAGTTAGGGGTCAGTTTGGTCAAGGTCACCAGTGCTTAAAATAGATGTTTACACTTTTGCCCATACAGCCTTTATTTATTGACAGATGTATTTCATATTTGGTAGGAAGATAACTTGCATGAAGTTGAATATTTTTCAACTTCACAAGTCAGAGCAATGACTTGGCAACTTATATTTTTCACAATTACAAAATGCCATGACTTTGTCAAGCTATATAACTTATGTTTACAATATTTTGGCAATTTTTCTGTCCATAACTGAGTGAATGGGTAAACATTTTTTGAAATATTGCTACTGACAAGAATCTGAGCCGGGGGCATTTGTGTTTAACATACACATTCTTGTTTTCTACTTTTTTTTGCACACAGAACTATAGCTTTGATTTATGAGTAATTATAGCTAGATTCTTACAAATAATTAAGCCTCGTAGAAAATGTTTTACAGTTTCTTACAAGCCTGCTGAGTTCATTAAGGTGAATGTGTGGTATGTGGACTTTGGATATATAAGGAGGAAGTCACAACTCTTCATAATAATTTAGTTGACACTTATGTTAAGCCCTTCAACAATGATATAATTAATTATGGTAGAGTAGTTACGTGAGAGAACAAAAATCAAATTGGTTCTAAGAAATCAGTGGTACATAATCTAGGAAATAGGTTGTTATTGGGTTCCAAACCTAGAAAACAGGTTGTTATTGGTACATAATTTTGGAAGCAGGTTGTTATCGGTACATGACCTAGAAAATAAGTTATTATTGGTACATAATTTAGGAAATAGGTTGTTATTGGGTACCAAACCTAGAAAACAGGTTGTTATTGGTACATAATTTTGGAAGCAGGTTGTTATTGGTACATAACCTAGAAAATAAGTTATTATTGGTACATAATTTAGGAAATAGGTTGTTATTGGGTACCAAACCTAGAAAACAGGTTGTTATTGGTACATAATTTTGGAAGCAGGTTGTTATTGGTACATAACCTAGAAAATAAGTTATTATTGGTACATAATTTAGGAAATAGGTTGTTATTGTGTACCAAATCTAGAAAACAGGTTGTTATTGGTACATAATTTTGGAAGCAGGTTGTTTTTGGTACATAACCTAGAAAATAAGTTATTATTGGTACATAATTTAGGAAATAGGTTGTTATTGGGTACCAAACCTAGAAAACAGGTTGTTATTATACCCCCACCACAAAATGTGGGGGGGGGGGCTATAATGGATTCGCTTTGTCGCGTCGGTCGGTCGGTCCGTCCGTCCGTCTCCATTTTCGTGTCCGCTCTATAACTCCTATACCACTTGAAGGATTTTCTTCAAACTTGGCTCAAATGTTCACCTCAGCAAGGGGATGTGCAGAACCCATGTTGCCCATGTGTCAGCTCAAGGTCAAGGTCACAATTGAAGGTCAAATATCAAACACAATCATATATTAGACAGTATGTCGTGTCCGCTCTGTAGGTCCTACAATAATTGAAAGATTTTCTTCAAACTTGGCTAAAATGTTCACCTCAACAAGGGGATGTGCAGAACTCATGTTGCCCATGTGTCATTTTAAGGTCAAGGTCACAATTGAGGGTAAAATATCAAACAATCAAATATTACACAATATGTCGTGTCCGCTCTGTAAGTCCTACACTAATTGAAAGATTTTCTTCAAACTTGGCTCAAATGTTCATTTCAACAATGGGATGTGCAGAACCCATGTTGCCCATGTCTCAGCTCAAGGTCAAGGTCACAATTGAAGGTCAAATATCAAACAATCAAATATTACACAGTATGTCGTGTCCGCTCTGTAAGTCCTACACTTATTGAAAGATTTTCTTCAAACTTGGCTAAAATGTTCACCTCAACAAGGTTATGTGCAGAACCCATGTCACTCTTTTGCCGGCTTAAGGTCAAGGTCACACTTGAAGGTCAAAAATTGACTTAGAAAATGTTCTTAAATTTTAACATATATCTGAATATTTCTGAATCTAGGAAAGGTATTTGCTTGAAACTTAAAATATATATGAAGTGTCACAATTAAGATATGCTGGTCAAGTTTCATAACTCTGTATTGCATTTTAACAAAGTTATGCCCCTTTTTAATCTTCAAATTTACATACAATCACATATTAGACAATATGTTGTGTCCGCTCTATAAATCCTATACTAATGGAAGAATTTTCTTCAAACTTTTCTCAAATGTTCACCTAAACAAGGTTATGTGCAGAATCCATGTCACCTTTGTGCAGGCTAAAGGTCAAGGTCAGACTTGAAGATCAAAAATTGACTTAGAAAATGTTCTTAGATTAAAACATGTTCTTGAATATTTCGGAAACTAGCATAGGTATTTGCTTGAAACTTAAAAGATATATGAGGTGTCACAATTACGATATGCAGGTCAAGTTTCATAACTCTGTATTGGATTTTGACAAAGTTATGCCCCTTTTTAAGTCTTTAAATTTACATACAATCAATACTAGACAATATGTTGTGTCCGCTCTATAAATTCTATACTAATGGAAGGATTTTCTTCAAACTTTACTCAAATGTTCACTCCAATTGGGCGATGTGCAGAACCCATCTTACCCTTGTGCCAGCTGAAGGTCAAGACCACACTTGAAGGTCTAAAATTGACTTATAAAAAGTTTAGTATATTGGGAAAATGAAAGGTTATTTGTAACTGTTTGAACATGATTTGATAATAGATATTTTTACTATTACCTGTACAATTAGTCTTTTTTTCACCAGAGATAATTTCTTTTTATGTATTTGTGTCACTTAAGATATTCCCTTAACCACCTTTCCAAGTTGTCTTCTGTCAAGGACATTGGTGGGGGTATGAATCGCATTCAGCGATAGTTCTAGTTGATACATAATTTTGGAAGCAGGTTGTTATTGGTACATAACCTAGAAAATAAGTTATTATTGGTACATAATTTAGGAAATAGGTTGTTATTGGGTACCAAACCTAGAAAACAGATTGTTATTGATACATAATTTTGGAAGCAGGTTGTTATTGGTACCTAGAAAAACAGGTTGTTATCAGTTGTTGGTAACTTATTACCTAAATACTGTGAAATGTGTTATTTTTAGTCCCCTACCGGTTTACCGGAGGGGACTTTAGGTTTACCCTTCGTCCGTCTGTCTGTCAGTCCGTCCGTCCACAAAACTGGATCCCGCGATAACTTGAAAAGTACTGGAAATATTTTTATGAAACTTGATATATGGATAGATGGCAGTATGGAGAGATTATGCACGTCTTTTTAGCTCACCTGTCACAAAGTCCTGTCACAAAGTGACAGGGTGAGCTTTTGTGATCGCTTTTCCGGCGTCCGTCGTCAGTAAACTTTCACTTTAAATGACATCTCCTCATAAACCACTAGGCCAATTTCATCCAAACTTCACAGGAATGTTCCTTTGGTGGTCACCTTTAAAAATTGTTCAAAGAATTCAATTCCATGCAGAACTCTGGTTGCCATGGCAACCGAAAGAAAAAACTTTAAATAGCTTCTTTTAAAAAACCCTAAGAGCTAGAGCTTAGATATTTGGCATGAAACATCTTCTAGTGAGTGTCTACCAAGTTTGTTCAAATAAAAGCCCTGGGGGTCAAAATTGGCCCCGCCCCAGGGGGTCATTGATTTTCCCTATATGCATATAGTAAAAACTTAAAAAATCTTCTTTTAAAGAACCCAAAGAGCTAGAGCTAAGATATTTAGCATGAAACATGTTCTAATGAGTGTCTACCAAGTTTGTTCAAATAAAAGCCCTGGGGTCAAAATTGGCCCCGCCCCAGGGGGTCATTGATTTCCCCTACACTTAACAAATCTTATAAGTGTGCATGTATAAATGGTTTCATAGGTGTATCAATATTTGCCCGATCATGCTGAAATTTTGAATAAATACAGAAAAGAGACACAGTATCATTTTTATTCATTTTTTTTTCATTCAAGATACAAATTTAAGATGTATTACTAAAATATGTGAATGCGTGTCAAAAGTCGATGTTGCAAAATGATGTCCTGATACCTTAAGTGCCCACCCTGACTGTGTATTACAGCCTGGAAGTGTCGTCACATCGATGTTGCATACCGTTGTAGATAATTTTGGTGTCCGTGAGGAAGGTTACCAACGATGCCAGTTGCTCTGTATTCAATGATTAGCCTTTTGAAAATATTCCGGTGTACCACCATGCGAGGCGCAACCTACAAATGTTACATACATGTAATAAGTAAATAAAAATATGCATTTATGTTTGTCTTAGGTAGAAACTGAATTTAAATGATATTCGGCTTTTACAATGCAAAGGAATTAAAATAATCATTAAAACAAATAAATTTTGTAACCAACCTGTGTTTCGTGTACACCAGCGTTGACCAATCCTAGGGCTATGTCATGCTGTTGTATAGATAATCTACCCATGTTATGTTTTTCTGATAGGTGGACATCTATCGTATCCGAGAATATCATGGGCAATTTTATTTCACCCATTCTGACCATTTCTCGTGCATTTTGTGAATTCCGTTCGTTCATGGTTGAATGCACCTCATAATTAAAATTGACATGCCTGAACAAGGGAAAAGTGTGGGAATGCAGCCCATAGTCAGTACACAAAATTTTGTAGAAATATATTGATAAACGAAAAAGTTATAAGGACATAAATGGTGCACACTTATAAGATTTGTTAAGTGTATATGCATATAGTAAAAACTTAAAAAATCTTCTTTTAAAAAACTCAAAGAGCTAGAGCTTAGATATTTAGCATCAAACATGTTCTAATAGGTGTCTACCAAGTTTGTTCAAATAAAAGCCCTGGGGTTAAAATTGCCCCCGCCCCGGGGGTCATTGATTTTCCTTATATGTGTATAGCAAAAACTTAAAAAAATTTCTCTGAAAAAACCCAAATAGCTAGAGTTTAGATATAAAGCATGAAACATCTTCTAGTGAGTGTCTACAAAGTTTGTTCAAATAAAAGACCTGGGGTCAAAATTGGCCCGCCCCGGGGGTCATTGATTTTCCTTATATGTGTATAGCCAAAACTTAAAATCTTCTTTGAAAAAACCCAATAGCTAGAGTTTAGATATTAAGCATGAAACATCTTCTAGTAAGTGTCTACAAAGTTTGTTCAAATAAAAACCCTGGGTTTAAAACTTGCCCCACCCCAGGGGTGTCATTGTTTTTAACTATATGTGTATAGTAAAAGCTTTAAAAAATCTTCTTTTAAAAAGCCCAATGAGCAAGAGCTTAGATGTTTAGCAAGAAACATCTTCTTATGGGTGTCTACCAAGTTTGTTCAAATAAAAGCCCTGGGGTCAAAATTGGCCCCGCCCCGGGGGTCATTGATTTTCCTTATATGTGTATAGCAAAAATTTAAAAAATCTTCTTTGAAAAAACCCAAATAGCTAGAGTTTAGATATTAAGCATGAAACATCTTCTAGTGAGTGTCTACAAAGTTTGTTCAAATAAAAGCCCTGGGGTCAAAACCGGCCCCGCCCCAGGGGTGTCATTGTTTTTAACTATATGTGTATAGTAAAAACTTAAAAAAATCTTCTTTTAAAAAGCCCAATGAGCTAGAGCTTAGATGTTTAGCATGAAACATCTTCTTATGGGTGGAGGGGGGGGGGGGCTATATACAGGTGAGCTACCTCAGGGCCATCATGGCCCTCTTGTTCTTTTCTTCCTATGTTGAAAATTCTGGTTGCTATGGCAACAAATAGGCTGAAAATATGGCAAATTTTACACATAAACTGGATCCAGTGATAACGCAAAAAGTACTGGAAATATTTTTATGAAACTTGAAATATGTGTAGATGGCAGTCTGGAGATTATGCACGTCTTTTTCTTTTCTTCCTATGTTGAAAATTCTGGTTGCTATGGCAACACATAGACTGAAAATATGGCAAATTTTACACATAAACTGAATCCAGTGATAACTCAAAAAGGACTGGAAATATTTTTATGAAACTTGACATATGGGTAGGTGGCAGTCTTGAGATTATGCATGTCTTATCTGTTCTTCCTATTTTGAAAAAATATTGGTTGCCTTGGCAACAAATAGGCTTAAAACATGGTAAATATAACAATATTTGTGATTAGTCAAAAAGAGCTGAACATTTTTATGAAATTGCATCTTTAATTCAAGAGATATCTCCTCTTTAAGAATTTTGCTTTTAAAATGTTATATTTTGGTAACAGGGATGTTTCAAATATTAACTTTAGAGTGTCCTTCAGTCCGTCTGTCTGTCTGTCTGTTCATATAAACTGTTTCCTGTGATCACTTTTAAAGAACTTTTCCAACAAATTTACTTAAAATAGAGAAAAATTGAAACATTAGTGAATGGCCAAAGACCCTTCAGAATGTTGATGGGGTTCTAACTGGTAGGGGACTTATGGATTGCTTGCAATACTATGATAATTGCTTGTTCTTTTTGAAATCTGCACTTCAAGGTTTTGTTTATGATTTTATAAATGATATTTTGTTCTTTGATCTATCAATTTTTAAATATACTTGTTTTAGGTAGAAAATGCCCAGCATATGCATTTTAGTCATCTGTGTGGTGCCATGAATAGATATCCTGAGTGGAATAATAGGTAATGACTTCTTTCTTTACTAAATGCCTTTAAAGGAAAAACTTTTAATGTCATAGTTCAAGGCATTGCCAAAGATGATTGAAGTGTAAATATTAAAGATGTTCATTTCGTTATATCCAATTGGTTGTAATTAACCCTTAATTGATGTAATGGACTTGGCCTATTTTTAGTTTTGGAACTCCACATACGTCCAAAAGCCTAAAAATATTAATTGGAAATTCTCACATAGATCAACTGGGGCACTAAAACAGAAAAATATGCAACAAAAATAAAGAAATATTCTCAGAAATAGATTAAAGATAGTATTTTTGTGCTATTCTTATCAAGATTTGAGTAAAAATGGTAAAAAAATGGCTTTTTAATTTTTGGTCATTTTTTCACAAAAAGAGTTATTTTTCTGGAAAAAACGAAGAGACCAAATGATCTGAAATTTTGCACACAATTTATTATTAATTTCAGGACTTTCTAAAAATACACATCCCTTGAGTTCAGTGGAGCGTATTTAAGATTTATAATGGAGGTTGGACAAGTCCATTAAAGAAATTTAGCAGGCAAGAGTGTTTCGCACAATATGGAACACATACTGATCATTTCTTGCATATCAGACTGGTGTTTCTGTTAGTTTTACCATGCCTAAAATTTCATCTGGCAAAGGTGCCAGATGAGTTGCATGCTATAAAATGGTATGCTTAGGATGACGTAAATTTGCTGTTATGAATGAAGTTTTAATTTCATAGGCTGTTGTAAAAAAATAGTTATGGGTGTAATGACATAAATGGTCATTGAAAATTGTTTAATTGCGGTAAAGAATTTAAAATATGACGGAATATGGTAGGATATGCAAGAAAAAATATCTGACATATGTTTGTGGTTCGGATCGGTTTATCAGTTCCTCGGGAACCCCGTCTCTCGGAAAGGATATTCCGATCTGAACCACAACATATGACAGCTATTATTAATAATATTTACATAATTAAAAGGAACTAGTATTGTATCATATGGGCCGTGTCATGACAAAACCAACATAATGCGTTTGCGACCAGCATGGATCCAGACCAGCCTGCGCATCCGCGCAGTCTGATCAGGATCCATGCTGTTCACTTACCAACCCTATTAAAGTAGAGAAACTAACAGCGAACAGCATTGATCCTGATCAGACTGCGCGGATGCGCAGGCTGGTCTGGATCCATGCTGGTCGCAAACCCATTATGTTGGTTTTGTCATGGCGTGGCTCATACATATATATATACAGTAGTGATGTTCCGATTGTCGCAAGTCGTCGATAATCAGTTACTGTTATATAAAGCGACAATAATCGATTCACAAAAATCGCGTCGTCGAAAATGTTTAAAAATCAAAGGTAATTAATTCTGACGGTAATTTTCCTTTAGGAACACCTCGCCGATCGCTAAAAATCATCTTAGAGACAATTTGGAGTTGAACAGGCTCAATAAGTGATGTAAACAATAGTAATAGAATGTGATTTGAATGTTATTGTTTTACATCCATTGCAAAATAAAATCTATTTCGTAAAATTATGACTATATAAGGTTAAAACTGTGTTAAAAAGTGCTAAATGAAGTTCATGTTACTGAATATAATCAAGTGCCTTGTGAAGAAATCTTACTTCCATATTTCTTTTTAACGCGACTTTATTCGAAAAGTTATCGATTATGTCCCATCCGACTGAACCGATGATCGATTGGGACAAATTTCAACCGATTTCCATCACTAATATACAGTATTTTGTTTCCTCTACATGGCAGATTGAATGAAGATCTTCACATAAAGTTTGGTAGAATTGAAGGAATAAGCACAAGAAAGGGCAATGTGGTATTTCTGAAGGATGTTTTAGATGAAGCAGCGAATAGATTTAAGACATCAATGATGGCAAAGAAAAGTAAGTATAAAAAACAAACTATTTTTAGAAATAATATATCCCGAACAGTGATTTTACCACTTGTTAAAATCACAGTTTAGAGTTAGGATGTGAGGAATAAAAGCACGTGGTCGTAGCTAGAATGATATAATGCTTTGAAAACCTGAACCACAAATTTTCTAACTTCATGAATGGCCCATAACTCTGTCAAAATCCATGCTAGAGTTTGGGCCTTTTGCAGAAACCTCCATTATGACAAAAATTGTTAATTCAATTTTGGGAATAGCTTTTTACCAATTTCCCTGAAAAATTTTAACCAAAGTATACCCCAAAACACTGATTTTGACCCATGCCCGTGAGTGGGCCCTTTCCTAAAATCAATTAAAAAAAATAAAGAGTCTACAAAATACTATCTTTCAATAAAACAAAGTTTTAAAATTTTTCAATTTTTTATTTATGCAGAAAAAAATTTTACATTAATGGAATAAAAAACAACAAATGTTGAACTATATGCAAAAATCTTCCCCAAAACACTTTTTTCACTTGAAGTTTTTCAGTGATTATTGCCCTTGAATATAAAATTTTCACCCCATTTTTACACAAATAGCAAGCATTTTTTACAACCTTTTGCAATAAAAAAATTTTTTGCAAAAATTTTTATTGCAAAACGGTTTGCGTTGACATGATTTTATTGCAATTTGATTACAACCGGTTTTGCAATAAAAACAAGTTTTGCAATAAAATATTTTTCCTATCGGATTTTATTGACATTATGCAAAAGACATTATAAAATTTATCTATGTATATTAGGATTGATGCAGGAATTATTTTTCTGGGATAATGAGTGTATATGCATATGATCAAACATTAATTTACATTCTCAATTTCATTAGTCTTTTTCCTTTTAATATATATGATGAAAGGATGATCATCATGAAATATCAGGACATGTACATTTACAGCAACAACTGTATTTGCTCAAATTCGGTGATATACATACAAGAAATTTTAGTAAGGTCTTAACTTACCAGTTCTTTGATGAAAGAAAAAAAAACGAGTTTTGCAATAATTTTATTGCAAAACTGGTTGCGTTGACATGATTTTATTTGCAATTTTGATTACAACCGGTTTTGCAATAAAAACGAGTTTTGCAATAAAATATTTTTTTCTATCGGATTTTTTACTGACATTATACAAAAGACATTATAACATTTATCTATTGGGATTTGACATGCAGGAATTATTTTCTGGGATAATGAGTGTATATGCATATGATCAAACATTAATTTACATTCTCAATTTCATTAGTCGTTTTCCTTTTAATATATATGATGAAAGGATGATCATCATGAAATATCAGGACATGTACATTTACAGCAACAACTGTATTTGCTCAAATTTCGGTGATATACATACAAGAACTTTTAGTAAGGTCTTAACTTGCCAGTTCTTTGATGAAAGAAAAAAAAAAAACGAGTTTGCAATAATTTTATTGCAAAACTGGTTGCGTTGACATGATTTTATTGCAATTTGATTACAACCGGTTTTGCAATAAAAATGAGTTTTTTGCAATAAAATATTTTTTTCTATCGGATTTTTACTGACATTATACAAAAGACACTATAACATTTATCTATAAGGATTGACATGCAGGAATTATTTTCTGGGATAATGAGTGTATATGCATATGATCAAACATTAATTTACATTCTCAATTTCATTAGTCGTTTTTCCTTTTAATATATATGATGAAAGGATGATCATCATGAAATATCAGGACATGTACATTTACAGCAACAACTGTATTTGCTCAAATTTCGGTGATATACATACAAGAACTTTTAGTAAGGTCTTAACTTACCAGTTCTTTGATGAAAGAAAAAAAACGAGTTTTGCAATAATTTTATTGCAAAACTGGTTGCGTTGACATGATTTTATTGCAATTTGATTACAACCGGTTTTGCAATAAAAACGAGTTTTGCAATAAAATATTTTTCTATCGGATTTTATTGACATTATACAAAAGACATTATAAAATTTATCTATGTATATTAGGATTGACATGCAGGAGTTAATTCTGGGATAATGAGTGTATATGCATATGATCAAACATTAATTTACATTCTCAGTTTCATTAGTCGTTTTTCTTTTAATATATATGATGAAAGGATGATCATCATGAAATATCAGGACATGTACATTTACAGCAACAACTGTGTTTGTTTAAATTTCGGTCATATACATACAAGAACTTTTAGTAAGGTCTTAACTTACCAGTTCTTTGATAAGAGAAAGAAAAAACGAGTTTTTGCAATAATTTTATTGCAAAAAACTGGTTGCGTTGACATGATTTTTTTTGCAATTTGATTACAACCGGTTTTGCAATAAAAACGAGTTTTGGCAATAAAATATTTTTCTATCGGATTTTATTGACATTATGCAAAAGACATTATAAAATTTATCTATGTATATTAGGATTGATGCAGGAATTATTTTCTGGGATAATGAGTGTATATGCATATGATCAAACATCAATTTACATTCTCAATTTCATTAGTCTTTTTCCTTTTAATATATATGATGAAAGGATGATCATCATGAAATATCAGGACATGTACATTTACAGCAACAACTGTATCTGCTCAAATTTCGGTGATATACATACAAGAACTTTTAGTAAGGTCTTAACTTACAGTTCTTTGATAAAGAAAAAAAAACGAGTTTTGCAATAATTTTATTGCAAAACTGGTTGCGTTGAACATGATTTTATTTGCAATTTGATTACAACGCGGTTTTGTAATAAAAATATTTTTTCTATCGGATTTTATTGACATTATGCAAAGACATTATAAAATTTATCTATGTATATTAGGATTGACATGCAGGAATTATTTTCTGCGATAATGAGTGTATATGCATATGATCAAACATCAATTTACATTCTCAATTTTCATTAGTCTTTTTCCTTTTAATATATATGATGAAGGATGATCATCATGAAAATATCAGGACATGTACATTTACAGCAACAACTGTATTTGCTCAAATTTCGGTGATATACATACAAGAACTTTAAGTAAGGTCTTAGCCTACCAGTTCTTTGATGAAAAAAAAAAGAACGAGTTTTGCAATAATTTTATTGCAAAACTGGTTGCATTGACATGATTTTATTGCAATTTGATTACAACCGGTTTTGCAATAAAAACTTATTTTGCAATAAATATTTTTTTCTATCAGATTTTATTGACAATATACAAAAGACAAAATTTATCTATGTATATAAGGATTAAAAGGCAGGGATTATATTCGGAAATAAATATAGTCTCGTTTCTTTTAATATATATTATGAAAGTGATATACATACATGACGTTAAAATAAGGTCTTACTTACCAGTACATTGAAGAAATAGACAAATACGACTTTTTATTACTTCAAAGCTTACAAGTAATTATACAAAAGTGTTTACAATATTATTACAAAAACAAACTCGTTGCGATGACCTATTTTTGTATCATATTTTCACACCACACTTGTACAATAAAAACGATATTTTTGCAATAATAACCCGTTGCGTTGACATAATTTTATTGCAATTTATCCCAAGCAATTTAGCGCAAAAAAAAAACGAGTTTTACAATAAAAACATTTTTATATCGGATTTGATTGAGATTATACCGTTGACATTATAAATTTCTTATGTGTAAATAAGAACTTGATTCGGGAGTATTGTATACATGTATATGATTAAAACATTCTAAAAGTTGCTTTTTTTTTCTTTTAGTATTTTTGATGAAAAAATGATCATCATGAAATATCAGGGCATTACATGTTCAACAACAACTGTTGATGATATTCTTACATGACCTTGTTATAAGGTCGAAACTTACCAGTGTTTTTTCAGAATTTTAATGATAACATTATTGCAAAACGCCTTGCGATGAAACATCATTATGTTGCAATTTTTCACAACCAGTTTTCAAATAGAAACTAGTTTTGGCAATAAGATATTCGCTATATCAGATTTTTTTTAGATTATACTCTAGACATTATAATGTTTATCTTTGTCTATATGGATTTCACATGCAGGGATTCAATTCAGAAATATGCAATATAAAATCTATGGTTAAAAATATTTTTATTGCAAATATGATAATGGAATGATTTTTATTGAAAACGAGCTTATTTACATTATCTGAAACAACTGTGCTTTTGCAAACTCTTTGGAGCAAAACTCTGTGATATACATTCATGATATTGTTAAAGGGATATTCAGGCAACATAATGTCAAAAATATTTAAAATGATCTAATGTACTCAAATCAAGCTAAAGTGACTTTTCTTGAAGTTTCAGCATGCATTTCTGTTTAAATTCTATATATTTTGGGTTAGAAGCATAAATATATCTATATAGGTTGAACAAAATTTAGACATCAATAGATCACCAAATAGTTTTAAAAACAAGTCTGGTGACTTGAACAAACCCTTGAAGTTACAATAACAGATATTCTGGATATTGTGTGATTGAAACAAGCCTAAGTCAATCATTTGACATGTTCTTTAAACGTTTCCAGAGTTCACTTTGACAACTATTTTGAAATGCTAGCGCTCTAACCTGACCCACGTGGGTCAAGTTTTGGGAACCACAATTTTATTCTTTAACTGTGGTTTATTCGTTGACTGTCTAATATATTTATTTTGAGGGCATTTACAGAATAATGAATGAAAATTTCAAAAACTAGAAATGAAAATTTTTGCCTGTGTCTCTCTATAAATTGTCGAAATTACAAGTACTTTTCAAAAGTGGGTTGACAACATTATTGCAAAACTCTTAACGATGAAGTTTGGCAATGAAATAAAATTATATGTTTTATATCTACACCGTACTAAAAGATATTATAGTGTATACATATATTTGTACATCAGGATTTATATGTAGCGAAAAAGGTAAGGAACATAATGTAAGTTTTGCCATTATTTTAATTATTCGAAGTACAAACATGTCCGCGTTATGATTTAGAAAC